AACCTGACCTAGCAACAACAAAACAACAAAAGTAGGGCAAAACAAATAATCTATTTAAAATATAAAAAGAAATGAGATATTATTGATATAGGAAAAAAGGTAGCGCAACAGCGCGCACGAAGCCCGAAATTGCAGAGTTACGGAGAACTAAATAAAAGATCGAAAAAGGTAGACTCCATCGACACCGATTTAAAAAGTGCTGATAGCGTGAAAATACAAAGTGAAAATGATTTGTTATTGTGTTCTTATGGTTTAAAAACGTTACAGGATCCTATGGAAATAAAGGTGATACAAAATATCCAGTTTTGAGGTGAATGCAGAAAATCAAAACAGAATGGAAAAATGAATTTAAAATAGTGTAAAATGATATGTAAGTAGCATAACACTACAGCTTTTAATATTTTGTGTAAGTAAGATTAACTTATTTTCAGGACGAGGAAGGAAGTGTTTACAGTCATCAACATTACATGTTTTAGAGTCAGACACAGAAAAGTTGTATAGCTCATTGAGTAACTGGTTTGTCATACTTAAGCTTAAAGATAAACTAAAACTAGTGTTTAAGAGCTAAGTAAATAATATAATACGCGGCGCTCTTAGGCGCCCTCATAGTCTGTGGAGTTGATATATTTGTCCTCTGCGAATTTACGTACTGGACAGCTGTCATCACCAGTTTTATGGTCGCATTTTCTTTTAAAACGCTTGCACGTAGCGCAAACGGGGGAATGCGCTTTGTTTCTTATTTAAAGGAAAAAAAATCCTTTATTCCTTAAAGGAATGCCCGAGCTCTCCACAGTAGTTACATGTAGGGCTTCTTTCCCGACAAAATTTTGCTGAATGACCAAACTGCTGGCAGTTGAAGCATCTTGTTACTATTGTAAAGTCTGACTGGGCATGAGGTCCAATTAATATATATTCGTACTTCATTGATTATAGGCCTTCCTGATACTAGGTGGCACTTCGACAATGTAATTACAGGTAGGAAGGTTTTTCTTACCTGATTTACGGCTCAGTTTGACTGTTGCTAGGAAGGACTCACGCGTGGCATTGGGAAATTTATCGGCAATATTTTGTTCGAAGATGCACTCTAACACTTCTTTATCCGTGAGGGCTACAGGAACACCAACAATTGCAATCCTTGGACGTCGTTTAGTCGGCTCTTCCATGGTAAGGCCAGAAGATACAAGCTTCTCGGCGTTCTTTAATTTGTCAATATCTCCTTTTGTCTAAGCGCTAATTATAACTCCCCCATTTTTTACCTTCCTCATACCCCGGACTTGTAGTTTGAGTTCTTCTGGGGATATTATCTTTTGTAAGAGGCACTTCGTGTCATCACTAGTTTTGGACTTGTCCCTCGGATAAATTGCTAGGGTACCAAGATTGTTAGGGCGAATGAAGGCTTGGCCACCTTTTTTGATCATGTCCGTAAAAGTGGTTCCAGAGTCCGATAGTTAAGTATCTACCTATTTATATTAACAATATGTCAAAAAAGAAATTCCGGGGAAACTGTCCACTGCAGTAAATATTTTTCTCCAAAGATCATAGCTCGAAAATACAACTTTCCGACTGATTCTTAGGGAGTTTTTTTTAAGTTTATTGGTACAGTCACCTGGGATTTTTTTACATTTGAATTAAAATTCAACAAAAGGCAGGTAGGTTCAGCTTTTTCCTAGGAACATGTTATACGAATATTATTTAATTATTTTAGACTATCATGGTAAACATTAAGTTCATTTTTAAGTTATTCAAGAGCGTGCACTAAACAATTTTTTTAAATCTTTTTACCGCTTCCTTAACAATCATTTTTCGATAGGCACTAGGCCTATAAGTAAAATGCACATCACTAGCTAACGCAGACAATGACAAATCAAAATTAGTCACGCGTTGGTCACGCATTTTCGGGCTGTCAGGTCGTCTATACGTCAGTATATTCTAAGTCTATGGGTTAGAAGGGGATTGCGGGGTCGAGTGAGTAAGCGAAGCGAGCGAACCCATAGAGGGAGTATGTACAAGTAGTTTATTCTCTCTCTACGGAGCGAACCTAAAACCTGATTTTTCATTCTGTAGAATTCTGACATTTCATAAGTGTTGCTACTAAAAAAGTTCTCTACCGAAAACGGGACAAATTTGACCCATTTGAGAGCAAAAAAAAAAATAAAATGCTACGTATTTTTTATGTTTTACCTACAAAAAGGTAAATCTAAATATAAACTTACTCAAGTGACCTAATAAAAAAATAACAAATATTTCCATATCACGAACAATATATAGAATTAACTTTAATTACTTTATTTTATTCGTTAACTGGCATCACTGCCTACTAATACCAGGTTTAATAAACCTTTTAAAAAAAATGTTAGCTGTCACGTCACGTCTGTCACATTGATTGCTTTTCATTCGACTTCTTAGAATGCTCGAATACGATCATGTGTTCTCGGCGTTTGCTGCTATTTGTTGTTATTATCTTTTTTTTTTTATAGAATAAGGGTGACAAACGAGCACATAGTCCACCTGATGGTAAGTGGTTGCTGTTGCCCATAGACATCTACATCTATCCTCTATTTCAAATCAATATGTAGATGCGTTGTCACCCGTGAGGACTAAGATGGAATGCCTCATTTCCAGTAAAAAGGGCCTCTGGCCACCTGCACTCACCAAGCGAAACGCAGCGGTAAACCTCTACTTCACGCTGGTTTTCTGTGAGGTCGTGGTACCACCCCGGTTCGAACCGGCCCATCCGTGCGACAGCAAAAGCTGCCGCGTGGCTCTACCACTGTTAACAATCTTGTAATATTTGTTAAGTTTCTGTTATTCTGTTAAGTTTTTTCGTGTATACTTTTCGTGTTGTGGTCGTTTGTTGATTTTTATAAACGTTATGGAGCCACAACCTGGCCCTTCTCGGGAAGCAGCCCCATCTGACAGAGCACAAGACTGAAACTTTCTTTCTCCCAGAAAGAAGCGTCCTCGTAGTGCTTTTACGCCCAACGAAAAGACCATAATAGGGTATTTTACACCATGTAAAAAAATCAAAGAATATATATTTAGGATAGATTTTGTAAAAAGTAAAGGAGAAATATTGATTTCTATTTTTTTTTTATATTTTTTTTTTATAGGATATGGTGACAAACGAGCACACAGTCCACCTGATGGTAAGTGGTTACTGTGGCCCATAGACATCAACATCTATCCTCGTTTGCGCATCAAAATGCAGATGCGTTTTCACCCGTGAGGACTAAGATGGAATGCTTCTTTTCCAGTAAAAAGGGTCACCGGTTCTCTACACTCACCATACGAAACACAGCAGTGTTAAGCTGCTATTTTACGCTGGTATTCTGTGAGAGCGTGGTCATTCCCCGGTCGAGCCGACCCATTCGTGCTACAACTATGCAGCATGGCTCTACTACGTGTAAAAATAAAAATGCACTATAAATTTTATATTTAAATTTAAAGAATAATTTTTTTACCTGTGCCTCAAATCTGCAAAACGATGTCCGCCATATTAGATAGCGTCGTGACGTCACTAGGTCAAAGAACTAGGTTATGTGCTGTGTACTAACTAGCTAATTTCGAAAATTTTCAAGTTATCATTACGATTGTTGATTTTTATTCCGAGTTTTATTGAAAAGGCATCATGGAAGACTGATTCGTAAAAGCAAGTTTATTACTTCGCTTTTAGCACTAATGTTATAGATATTATAATAAAAGCTTAGGTGAGAAAACTTTATGTTATATTTTTTGTACAAACCCTCAGACGAAATAAAAAGTCACTTTTTTATTTGGTCTAAGTACAAACCATGTCTTTATTCCCGTATAATAGAAGAAAACAGGAATTAAGTAAAACACTGCACTGCACTTGCAAGGGCTATCAAAATGGCCCACAAAGGGCGGGATAGACGAGCGATTAACCTAATCTATTACAAAATTTGACTTGTAATAGGTACCTATCATGTCATAATGTTTTGTTTTATTTAATCGATAGTTAAATATAAGTAATACTTACATCAAAGTGATCTTCACAGAAGTATAGTTTAGATATTGTAGACAATGCTTTCGGGTCTCTTCTTGCCAGTTTTAACCAAGTATTTCTCATATTTAAATCAGTTGGCACTTTAATCCATTACTACCCCGGCGTTCTTATGCTCGTATTTTTGCAATCAGGCACAACACAACAATGATATAGATGATAACTCATTATTAAACAATCAAAAGTATCTTATTCCTTTGCAAAATTGTCAAAATTTTAGGACAGTGACGTCACGAGTTGAACAGTATGGTGGCTAGCGTTTTCACGCGAAAATTGAAAACGATAGATTAAAAGTAATTTTTATGTTCCTATTCGGTTTTAAAAAAATTATATGAAATTATAGTGGTTCATTATCACTTTAGGATTCATTTAAACGAAGGCAAGTATTGAATAATGTGTTAATTAACTTTTTATAACCTATTTCTTCATCAAAGTATTGGTCGGCAATCAAATTCTGTACTTATGTAACACTTAAATTAGCTTTGTTAATAAATTTCTGTTGCCAAAATGAATAAATAAATAAATAAATCCTAACTGTCCTCATGTATAAGTGAAATATTAAATATATTTTTATTTTCAGGACATACCGTCAATAAAGTGTGGTGGGATACCAACATTCAATCTTCACGACAAGCTTTCCTCAATGGCTTGACAACAAGGTTTAAGGCACCTACAGGCAAAGGGAGGCGACTTATAGTTAGCCATATAGGGAGCGAAGAAGGATTTTTGGAAGATGGCTTATTGGTTTTTGAGGCAAAAAAAGGCTTGGCAGATTATCACAAGGAGATGACAGGGGTATTAGGGAAGTATTTGAGGAGTGGTTCACAAAACTACTTCCAAAATTAAAACCAAACTCATTAGTAGTGTTGGAGAATGCTCCCTATCATTCGAGGAAGGTCGAAAAGTACCAACAAGTGCATGGAGAAAAGGCGATATCCAAGCGGGGTTGACTTCAAAAAAATTAAATTTTGAAGAAAAAATGCGAAAAGTTAATTTATTGGAAATTATGGGTCAGGAGAAATACAAATACCAACAGTGTATTGGAGACGAGATGGCCGCAGCAAAAGGCATGACTGTGCTTAGACTGCCCTCATATAATTGTGAGCTCAACCCTATTGAATTGGTGTGGTTTCAAGCAAAGGGGTATGTCGCAAGACACAACAGAAGTTTTAAAATGGCGGAAGTTAAAAAAATATTACTGGAAAGTATAAGTAATGTTACTCCTGATAAATGGCAAGAATGTATCAGCCATACAATCAAAGAAGAAGATAAGATGTGCACTCTCGACGATTTGATTGACACAGTCGCAGACTCTTTAATAATTCATGTCAGTCATTCACGTCTTCCATAGATTTTGTACGAGTCGCAACACACATACGTAAATTCCGTACGGAACGCGCTCAGTGTTCGTCGCACGACCGAAGCGAGTAGGTGTGTTTATGTATGTTTTCACATTTAATCTTGTAGGTGTATAGCTTTTCGTAACCTTTCATCTTATTTTATTTAATAATTCGTCGAAAGAATTTACATACATAAATATTTAAAAAATATCTCTGGATAGATAGATCTTTTTACATAGTATTGACTATATTGCAAGCTTAGGGTGATAAAGGGATGCACCTAGTAAGAACAATGGAATCGCAACCAGAAAATCGTCATCAGTATTCGCTGGCAGAATGTCTAGACTCAATGGCTAACGTCTCTCAACTGACCCTTGTTATTCCGAACGAAAAAAAAACGTGTGTGTGTGATGTATTAACGGAATCCCGATTCGGGATTCCGAAACGGAATCACGAAACGGAATTCCGTATGTATGCGGCCGGCCTTAAGTTAGCTTTCATCGTAGCCGTGCTAGCGCGAGGCGCCCGCACCAATATCATGCTATCTCGCTTGAAATAAGATTCGTTTTTTATTTTGTATTGAATGACGGAATTTGTATTAATACAAATAAAACTGCACTTTTAAAAGTCTTATTGCCTTGAGTTACGATCCATTTCAGTTTGTTTTACTGTACAGGTTTATTGTAATATAGGTAGTTTTAATTATTTTTGGGATAAAAATACCTTTTTTTTTATAGGATAAGTGTGACAAACGAGCACATAGTCCACCTGATGGTAAGTGGTTGCTGCGGCCCATAGACATCTATCCTCTATTACAAATCAAAATGTAGATGCGTTGTCACCCGTGAGGACTAAGATGGAATGCCTCATTTCCAGTAAAAAAGGCCTCCGGCTACCTGCACTCACCAAGCGAAACGCAGAGGTAAACCTCTACTTCACGCTGGTTTTCTTTGAGGTCGTGGTACCACCCCGGTTCGAGCCAGCCCATCCATGCGACACCAAAAGCTGCCGCGTGGCTCTACCTATATTAAAAATGATAGAAATCGATTCAGTTAACGATTCTGAACAAACTGATTTCAGACTCAAACTGATGCTGTTGGCCCTGCGGCCTTTACAGCTTCATCGAAATAGGCTCATAAGTGAGGATTTCTTGAGGCATCCCAGCCCCTGCTTTCGGAGTGAGGCTCCTCTAGCTAGGGGGGAAGGGCTCGATGTAGTTCAAGGGCCCCTCAGAAGAAGGTACGAACCTCGACTTGAACCACTATCGCAATGTGGGAGACGGGTTGCAAAATTAAAAACGCCCCGTATCACGGGTATTGAACCTGCACCAATCGCCTAGTGAGTTTGCTGCAGTTTGGAGTCGAATGTATACTCTAAATGGACTATTGTCCGATGTGAAGAGGGTTGTGTCATCTGCGTATAGTGCAAGATGAGTGTCTGGTGTACTTGGTATATCGCTCACGTAGAGTGAGTATAGAGTAGGGGAGAGTACTGAGCCCTGGGGGACCTTCGCTCTGATGGACCTGGAAGAGGAGAAAGTCCCCTTGACCCGAAAAGGAAAAAAACCTATTGCTTAGAAAGTTTTGTATAACTTTGACGAATCTTATAGGCACATCTATGTGGACCAGTTTATAAACTAGTCCATTGTGCCATACTTTATCAAATGCCTTAGCCACATCAAAGAACAGAGCACCTGTATATGCAGCGCGCTTGTTCGAATTTGCAGCGTAATCTAATATGTGCTCCGTGAGGTGGTGCACTTGCTGAACACATGAGTGTTTGGCTTGAAAGCCAAACTGCTCGTTTGGAATCAAACTTTTGTTTAACACAACATCCCTCAGTCGGCTAAGGATGATGAACTCATAGATTTTCCCCATGGCACTGAGGAGACTAATAGGTCTATTGGGAATACCGATAACGTCCGCTTCTTTCCACACATCTGGGTAAGTGCATGTGGATAGAAGTGCAGTGCGTTAATTATGTTACATGTTGTATATATACTCCAAATTCGTAGGCTGGGGTAGGGTGGGTAGTACCAAATCTAAGAATATGTTACATGTTGTATATATACTCTAAATTCGTAGGCTGGGGTAGGGGGGAACCAAATCTAAGAAATATCTTTTGACGTTTCATATTAATCATTGCGCAATATTTTTGTGCAAGCGTACTCACTCGATTTAAAATAACCTTTTACATAAATCCCAACAATTATGAAGTAATCTTTACAACATGTATAGTTTTTTACTACTAATTTAAGTTCGAATCTTTAAAACAAAGCAAAATATAAAAAAATTAACAGAGTCACTTCTTTTGCCTGACGTTGTTTCAAAGATATGTCTACAGACTAACTAGTAGATTCTACAGGAGTCAGACGGACATCTCACGAACTAAACTTACTCGACTTAGCTTCTGCATCCTGATTGATTGTAACAAAATGATATATGACATTTCTTTTCTTTTAATTTGAAGCAGCTATATCAAGCAGAAGACGTCCCAAATAAGCTTATTTATTAATTAGTTGCAAAATTTATTTTAAAATGTTGAAAATAAAATAAGGTAAATAAAAATGAAACAATGATGAAATTTAATATTTTTTTATTAGGTATTAATTTTTACTTTACAATAATTTTGTTTACAAATTTAATAATTTATTAATATATACAATATTAAAAAATATATTTAAAAAAACAAATTAATTACTTAATTATCATACAGTCCTCATTTTAACTTTACAATAATTTTGTTCATAAATTTAATAATTTATTAATATATACAATATTAAAAAATTGTAATCTAAACAGATTTCTACAGCACTTAAGTTTTTATATTACATAGCTCCATATTAACTTGGAATGTGCTGTGCCCCGCATCCTTACCTGAAACACAATCATTTACAGCCTTAATAAAAGCATTTTGTTCTATTTGTTCATAATCAAGATTTGTTCCATATTGGTCAAAATTGTATGTAACTACATAAAAATTAAAAATTGTATGTAGTTATTAAGCTTTGGCAACTGACAACGGCTGATCAAAACTATTTTCCTGTAGAAATGAGTATGTATTGTCTGAAATCAAATTATAAATTTATAGATCATAGAATTAAGTATAGAAGAGAATATATTATGTTAATTTTTTTTATAGGAGAGGGGACAAACGAGCATGCGGTTCACCTGATGGTAAGTGACTACCGCCGCCCATGAACAACCGCAATATCAGGAGAATTGCAGAAGTGTTGCCGGCCTTTTAAAAAGGAGTAGGCTCTTTTCTTGAAGGTCCCTAAGTCGTATCGGTCCGGAAAATTCGCTGGTGGTAAACTATTCCACAAGGAAGTTGTGCGAGGAAGAAAACATCTTCTAAATCGCACAGTGGTGGACCGCCAATCATTCAAATGGTGTGGATGGTATAGGGAGTTCTGCCGCGATGTGCGTTCGTGAAATTTGGCGGCTGGGATTAATCCGAACAATTCCTCAGAGCACTCCCCGTGGTAAATGCGAAAGAAAATGCAAAGAGATGTAACATCTCTTCGCAGCGCCAATGAGTCGAGCCGATCGGAAAGGACTCGGTCGTCGACGATTCGAGCCGCTCTGCGCTGGATGCAGTCAAGTGGAAGGAGCTGGCACTGGGGAGCCCCAGCCCAGAGATGGGAACAGTATTCCATGTGAGGCCGAACCTGCGCTTTATAAAGTTGCAGGCGTTGAGCCGGCATGAAATACTGTCCCGCTCTGCTGAGCACGCCAAGCTTTTTAGAAGCCAATTTGGCTTTCTCTTTCAAGTGACCACGAAACTGCACGTCACTCGATATGTCGACGCCGAGGATTCCGATACTGGCTGAGGCAACAAGGGGAGTACCTTGAAACTGAGGAGATACTATTCTGAGAATTAAACTGGACTAGATTTAGTCGCCCCCAATCCGAGACTTTGTCCAGCAAAGACTCGACTTCAGACTCAAGTTTGTTCCGGTACTCGGTGACGTTTTCCCGAGAAATATTGGCACGGCCGGTGTATAGAGCGTCACCAGTGCTGTTATCCGCTTAGCAATGAATGCTACCGGCTTGCAACATATCATTGATATGCAGAAGAAACAGCGTTGGTGATAGCACGCAGCCTTGTGGAATACCAGCGTTAATAGGCTTGTAGTCAGAGCATGCACCGTTTACAACGACCTTGATGCTCCGATCTGCAAGGATGCTGGTGATCCAATTGCAGAATTTCTCGGGAAGCCCATAGAAAGGGAGCTTCGAAAGAAGCGCTTTGTGCCAAACCCGATCGAAGGCCTTCGCAATGTCCAAACTAACGGCCAATGCCTCCCCCTTGAACTCTACTGCCTCCGCCCATCTATGAGTTAAATAGACCAGAAGATCACTAGCTGATCGACCCCGACGAAAACCGTACTGGCGGTCACTAATCAGCTGGTGATCCTCAAGGAACCGCATGAGGTGGCAGTTTATAACGGATTCCATTATTTTGGAGAACAAGGGGGTGATGGCGATAGGCCTGTAGTCGGACGGGTCTGAGCGGTCGCCTTTTTTAGGGATCGGGTGGACAAAAGCTGTCTTCCATGATTTCGGGACTACGCCTAGGGAATAGGAGTACCGGAAAAGACGCGTTAGAACCGGTGCCAACTCCGGAGCACACGTCCTCAGCACAATTGGGGGGATTCCGTCAGACCCACTCGACTTGTGGATGTCAAGGGAGAGGAATGCTCTGCGAACTGAGCGCTGTGAGAACCGCACATCCGGCATGGAGCATTCACACCGCGGAATGGTCGGCGGTGTGTTCCCCCGTCATCAACAGTCGAGTTGGACGCAAAAAGGGAGCCTGAAAGGTCGGCTTTATCATTATCATCATCATCATCATTACAGCCTTTCATAAGTCCACTGCTGAACATAGGCCTCCCCCAAGGAATGCCATAAAGCACGATCCTGAGCCGCCTGCATCCATCGACTTCCTGCATGTCTTACCAGGTCGTCACTCCATCTCGTGGAGGGTCGCCCTACACTTCGCCTACCGG